AAAGTTTAATTAGGAAAAGTTCATAAAAAAACTGAATTAAAAAATATTAAAATTAATAGTTTTATAATATTTATCTTTTGCCATGATTTTTTTTACAAAATTTTCTTGTCACAAACCACAATAAAAAAAATTTTTAAATTAAAAAATGAATACAATATGCAGAAAATAAATCAATAAAAATGTATCTTTGTTATTTTTTTATCACAACATATCGTTAATTATTATCTGTTTTTATTTTGTATTCTTGGCCAGTGAACTATCCACAGCAGATTCATCAATAACTTTGTAATACCCAAAAGCCTTAGGTCTGTGTTCCAGAAGTGACTTAATATGATTCGTAACAGGGTTGGCAAATTGACTGATCCATTGAGAACAAATGGATTTTGGACTGGTCCATTGCCATTAATAAAATACTAAATATGGTTAAAGTATTACACTAATGGATTTAGTGGACCACCAATAGACCATCAATGGACCGCACATTTGCCAACCCTGTGGTAAGCATATTTGGATAAACTTGCATTGTGAAAAAAATCCAGTGGCATCTGAATGCTTTCCATATATTTGTGAAGATTAGTATAATAACATATAAAAACAAATAGTCCATTAATATAATAATATCCTTACAATGAAGTATACACTAGTTGGACCCAGTGAAGAAGCCAGTCTCTTAGAAATACATATTCTGTTCCTCCTTTCTCAAATGGATTTTCATTTATTACTAATGATATTTTATTAACATTTGATCCAAATCCAATTGTGTGTTCTTTGGTGGCTTCGTCATATTTAATAGTGATGTTAACCGTTTTAAAATTCTTAGCCGGCGGCTAAGCCTGTTTACTACCTAAATTGGTAATTTCATTTCTATAACCAGAAAGTAACGCGGAAATCCATTACCAAATTTAGAAATTATGTATGCAGATTATTAGCCAGCTAACATCACTAATATCTAATTAAGATATTCACTATGTCTGCTGGTATTGCTACTGAAAAAGAGGCAATTATTTTTTCTTCTGCCTAAAGAAAAATCATTGTAAATATTATTACTTTCTTGGTTGTATTGCTAATTAAAAAAACACAAACCATTTGCCAGTCATGTTCAGACATTGCCCATTCTTGACTTGTGAGAAGATTCTTTATTGGATCTTGTTTATTATCCTTGGGCAAAAAATTATTTTATATCTTGCAATACCTTCACCATAGTTCAGAAGCTTTTACAACTGGAGTTGTAATTTCCTATGATGTCAGAAGATAAACTCAAAACTATGCAAAAAAAAAAAATTTTGGAAATATATACAAGAATGATGAAACAAACCTCTATTGTATTAAGTTCTTTTAAGAACTTGTCTTCATCAAATTCATCATGTGGCTCAGCTCAGCTTCAATAGATGATGATTCGTCAGGTTCCTCATCAAAAAATCCCTCTTCCGTCTCAAAGCTATTATTTCCATATCATGAATTAATCTTTGTTAATTTACTTTTTAATTCTGCTTTTAATTAATTACATGCCTTCATTACTTTCGATTGTTTCTTTATTTGGTTCCTGTTTGGAAGAATTGTGCTGATAAGTTATTAAATGATTAACAAATAAACATATAAAAAATGAAAAGAATAATTTGAATATTAAGGCAGACTTAACATTGTGAGTGTGCAATCCGAGTAACCTATTTAATAGGTTATTTATTGTTCAACACACAGCCTACCCACTGACTTACGGTTGATTCTATGGTTTGACACACAGCCTACCTGCTGACTTACAGTCAAAGTTAAATGAAAATATAACTTTTATCTTCCTGGATAAAAGGGCCCTAGGTTCTATAGATATGTTTATATCCCAAGGGCGTCCCCTTGAGATGTTTCTCAATAATTAGAATGTTGGTTATTTGCTAAGTACAGCAAAGGTTCCCCCTTGGTGGTTTATTATTTAATTAGAGATTATTATTTAGGGTAAAATATGTTATGTGTTTTATTAGTGATATTTTTATTATTACAGTGTATTTAGGAAGTTTAATTAATAGATTAATAATTAAAAGATTATTATAAACATGATTTTTTTTTGACTTGGTCTGAAACCAAGTCTTTTTATACCTCTTGGGGTATTACAAATAACATGACTTTTACTCTAGTTTGTCCA